ACATTTTATATATACCTATCAACCCTCGATCGCATTCTACAGTGATGCTCAAGCATTTTATCTGTAGATGTATTTAGTACTCTTCAGAATTTTATACACAAGACTAACGAACATATTTAAACCATAGTCATAACAAAAATTTCTTTGCACAACCTCAACCTATTGGTAGCCTTCAGTATTGACTGCAAAACAACAGGGTGGACTTAAACTTCACTGTTTCACTACCGTAGAACGGCTTGTGCAAATGGGTTACTAATAACAATAATCCTATCCATTAAAAATACTTACGCTGTCCCGGAGCATTCCCTTATCATCTACTAGATGAGCCCATAAATACACACTTCACTCAGTTAGAAAGGATAACAATGCATCACTGGAAAAGAAGTGAGAGAAACCGAGATGGATAGAAAGTGAAAGTTGGAATTAAACCAGATTGGTGAAATCTCGTTTTAGCTGGACACGTTTCTTTGATACCGACTCCGAATCGGCAGTATCGGCTGAGGATTGATACTGAGTATCGGCGCGACATTTGGTTCCTGACATTTCTTTCTCTGTGGTACTTGAACAACTACTCTGGATATGATTTGGATTACCATTGGTAAGACCCTTGGGTTTTCGTACGGTCAGCACACGTTCAGTGTGATTTGCCTCCGAGGTGGAGTATCCCGGAGTAAAACGTCGTGGATCACTAGTGATGACCAAGTCCTCAAGCCGCGTTTCCGGAGGTGTCGTAGTTCCATTTAGTTCCCGCGAAGAACTACTCTTCTCAGACGTTTCTTCGTGTTGCGGTATCGGCATAATATGATGGTAGTATAAATCCACTAGTTTGTGAAAAGGATCATCGGTAGATGCCAATGCATCAAATCCGCGGCGCGAGAGCAGTTCTAATAATTGCACTCGAGACATGCGTTCCGGTTGTAGTAAGTCAAAGTAGGACTTGTTTTTCGGGAGATACTCATGCGCAACAAAATCGGATAAGTCAATAATAATAATAATAATAATAATGGTATATTTCACGAAGCCCGTGAAGCATGCTTGTGCGCATGATCAAATGTACAATAATATAAAATTACAGTGGGGACAGTAAGTGATAGTACAGAGTT